AGATTTCTAAATTGTTGACAAAAAATTGTTTTTGAAACCCGATTTTTTTAAACCTTAGTATAATGTCAAACTGTCGCATTTGTCACTTACTTTACTAATGAACGGGTTTCCATTAATGTTCAGGCAATCTACCTTTTTTCTAGGATATTCGTTATGCATCCCATGGTATGTAATATACCTTCTGCCTGTCTAGTGACAGGGGGTGCGTTGGACTGTTCTTCGTGAATCCACCCAATGGCAAGCCACAAAAACCTGCAAAGCCCTGACCGAGTCGCCAGGGCACTCACCCCTCCTGTGGGACAGCTTGATCCCCCTCATGGATGGAGAGACTCAGAAACATCGAGAGCCTCTCCTAGACAAGTGAAGCCGTGCAATGCAGAGGTGGCTGGCAAAAGAGAAGAGCGATGCGCTAATACTCGATCCCTCTCCCCTTCCTATCCGCTGTGTAGAAACCTGCCTGGACGATTCCCCTAGACACACAAGCCAGTCCCTTCTCCAGCTGCCACGGGCCATCGCGCTCCCATGCAACCTTGAAACATGTTACTGTAATCACATCAGTTCGCGCAGGGCGGGGAGAGAACCCGTGCCTCTATTAGTCGGACACAAATCTGTCGACAAAATACTCATAATAATAATCACACAAACAACAAATGAACTAAACGTTTCGTAACTAATGTGTCATTAGGACCTTGTCCTTGCAACAATAGACTTTAATCATCACAAAACACCGCTGATTGACCACCACTTTTAATTGTATTGTTTTGTATCGTTTAGGTCACGTTTCAATTAATTTGCCCTCTTCTACGAGTATATATATATTTAGGCTACATTAGATACAGTACAATAAATATTAATTGTTTATTTCAAGTACTTTTTAAAGTATAATATACAACATCATATATTTTTTTAAAGAACAGGTTATACAGGCCCGAGGTATTTCCATAAAAAAAATATCGAAATCGAATTGATAATTTAGTTGTATAATAATACAAAATTTGCAAAATATGTATTTGTAAAAAATACGAAACAAAAAGAATGCAATTAAAGTAACGGACACCATACTTATCTTTTTTGTTATTAAATTCTTTGTATTGGTTCCGGCCAAAAACTCAATTATTGGGTTGGCACAAAAGTAATGAGACACACTAGAAAAATCTATAACATTTCCTTTTTAAAACAAATTTTTTCGATAATATTCTAGAATGTTGTAGAACATTCTAGGTACTTCTGGTGTAGGGTATATAAAGCCGCGCTCGCGATTTGTTTAGTCAGTTTGAAGAAAAATGGACGAGCGACAAGTTCGAACACTATACTTATACGAGTACTTGTTAGGCCACAGTGCGCGGGCTGCGGCTGACAATATCAACAATGCATTAGGCGCTGGAAGTACAAGCCATGCGATGGTGTCCCGATGGTTTGACCGTTTTAAATCAGGAGACAGGAGCCTTGAAAGTCAGCCACGCTCAGGGCGACTACCCGCAGTAAATGATGACGATTTGCGCCGCGAACTGCAGTTGAATCCGGATGCTACTACTTGTGAATTAGCGGAAGCACTTAAATGCAGTCACCACGCCGTGGAACACCATCTGCATGAGCTTGGTTATCGAAAAGTTTTGGCTCGGTGGGTACCGCACATCCTTACAGACGCCAGTCGTGCAGTCCGTGTCGCTATCTGTCAGTCACTTTTGCTGCGACCCCGACGTAAAGAGTTTTTGTCAGATCTGGTTACTGGAGATGAATCATGGATTTATTACGAGAACGATACACGTCGTCCTTTTTGGCTGCCTCGAGAAGAAACGCCACCAACTCAACCGAAGCCGAGTCAAAAGAACCGCCGAAAAATTCTGCTTTGCTGTTTCTGGGATACGCAAGGCATACTGTTTTATGAGCTATTACACAATGAAACTATAAACGCTGACAAATATTCAACCCAGCTTACCAAATTATCTGCCGCTATCAAGAAAAAACGACGAAGACGAGTCAATGTAGTTTTACTGCACGATAACGCTCTACCTCACGTCGCATCTGTGGTTCGCCGGCAGTTGGAGAACTTGGGCTGGGAGACGATACCCCACCCACCTTATTCCCCAGACCTCGCCCCATCAGACTATCATTTGTTTAGAGCCCTGAAACAGCATTTGCGGGGTAAACAATTTAATGATTTCTCTGACGTAGAGGCGGAGTTGAACAACTTTTTCGAGGCAGAGCCATCAGAGTTCTGGGCAAAAGGCATCCAAACTTTGCCGGATCGTTGGCAAGAAGTCTTAGATACTAATGGTAATTACATCATTGACTAAACTTTTTTTATTGTAATAATAATAAAAAAGTAAAAACTTAAACCAAGTGTCTCATTACTTTTGTGCCAACCCGATATATTAAATTACTAGCTTTCCGCCAGCGGCTGCACCCGCGTACTCCTCTATTATACATTTCATAAACCTTTCTCTTGGATCTCCGCATACAAACAGCAAAAAGTGGCTGCATTTCCTTTTATATTAAGTTATATTAATATACCAAGCAAAGCATCAAGCATATTGTTTAATTATATGGCCATGATGAACTTTGAAGTGTAGGTTTTTTACTAATCTTTTTTGTTATTAAACAGGGAATCGAGGCATTTGTTCTCTTTAATTGGAAATCTACCCCGAGGAGAAAAAAATAATAGGAAACGATTTGTTTTTCAATCACAGATTTTTACCAGAGAACCAAGTCTTCATTTCCTTGTTTCGTAATATTATTATTATTTTTAATTTTATAATAATCTCTCTGAATTTGGATAGCTAGATCACGGATCCTGAATGTATTTCAGAGACAATTCGTTAACTCCGTACCTCTAATTTATTAATTGAATTACTAAATATTTTAAGCTACTTATTATATAACTTTCATATTTTTTACGTATATTTATTTTTTATAGATACATAAATATAGTACCTTTTTGTTATAAAGTATACAGTTATATCTTAAACTTTAGATATTTATCTCATATATTTCAATCTAATATGGTACGAAGGGCACATTCCTTTAAGTCATTTGATTTAGCGAAATAACCGTTATTAACACCCACTCACTTATGACGATACTTGGTCCTACCACTCGATTTCTAGTGGAGTGGACTAAGCCGTATTCGTTAAATATTACGATGGATATTAAAATGAAGCATGTTCCTTTTTTTAAATCAGTCTTTTCTTTAGGCCGTTGGTTAAAAAGTTCTCATCGATCCAAATTAAAGTTCATCAAAGACAATTGTATTTCACGGAAGTTAAAAGTTACACAGGAAATAAAAATAAAAAGTTTATTTATATAATGGGAAAAAACCGGTGCCTTATTGAGCAGTGTTATTCTGTTAAAAAACAGCGTCGAACACAGCTCTGTCGCGTTATTAGTTGTTGGTTCAAAAACATAACAGTCTAATTACCTTCTGAAATCGGTTTTATTTAATTGAACCTCTTTGCTGTGACTAGATACTCATCGCCGAGTCAACGCTGAATATTTTACAGAATATTACTGCAGGAGATGTATGTATCTCAATATACATTATAACGTTTACGTGATAATGTAACGAGTATATAAGTATATCAGTTTTTATGCGTTGTACAACATGGTTACATCACTGTCTAAAGTGTGAACGATGTGTTGTGTGATCACAATTTACGACTACTATTATTAAGCCATACGGGCCTACGATTAGCTGACTCATATCCTCAAATCCTATATTAAATAGGTTGGTCATAAACGACATCTTAACAGATGTAATAAAAAGTTAAAAAATTAAATTGCGTACGTAGATAGGAGCTTGTTGTGCGCCAACATATAGCGCATTCGGTCTGTGAATCGCAACGGACCCTATGACTATCTTGAGTTCCTTCTTCTTATGTATCTTGAATGCTTCAGAAGGCTAATATGCTTACCCTTAGACCTAGCTGCGGCTGCAATCTGCACTAGGGCCGCGTTGGGTATCGTGTGATCCGCACCACGATAAGGTGTTGTGACGGGTTCGGTGCTTTGGCCAATTAATGAAAGGCTGACTAACTTGAGAATGGATTTATTTATGGTATAAAGGATAAAGTAAAGAAACTGTAACAAACAAAAAATAATGAATATAAAAGCAGTTCGTAAGTTACCTAAATATCTAATTAAAATGACCAAATAAAACGAATACATACCCCTTTTTGGGTTTCTTGATAAAAACTTGAATCTTCCAAGTTACAGAATACACTTTTATTGTATTATATATTTCCTATTTTAATAACTCGTTCATTATTATTGACAATTATTAATAAAATTTTATGTTTAAATTTATATGATTTATAATATAAGTGATTTACAATGTTTACAACAGATTATTTTTTTACGAACTGACATCCATCATAAAGAGTATATTTGATTACTCAAAATTTTAAATTACGAAAGGTGAATAATAAAAAGAAATAATGTTGAATATCAAAGACAAAAAGTTTGCATGCTGAAACCTAGGACGAAATAAACGGTGGTACGGCACACCGTTACAGTGTATACCACATGCCTTATTCGACTCAACTCTATACATAGGGAAAGTCCCAGCAACGATGTTCCCGTTGCTGGGACTTTAATAAACAGTTATGATAACAGTTATGCGTAGATCGTACAAAATGGTTTACGGGAAATATTGAAATACATAATGCAAATACTTTCTGATTTACTATTTGAAATGTAAAATACAAAACAGTATTGCTTGAAATTGGCTTTCAAATAGGAAATATGTAGTTACCAAATATTATTTAAAAGTGTTTCGCACGCCGGTTTCAATGATCGCCATCTCCCGGGTTCGATTACCGTTCAGATAAAAAATGACTGTACTAAAATATTCATGGCATGATTGGAGATTCAAATTCTAATTCTATTTGAAGGAAATTTCTAATAAAATATAATACACATTATTAAAAATATATATATCAAACAATTTTTCCCTAACAATTAATTATATTAAAATTTCAATAAAACGCTAATTGGATACTTTTCAAAATAATTTATTAGGTACTTAATTTAATTACACTAATAAGGTACATTTTTAAGTATTCTTGTACATACAATGAAATACTGATAATTGTGCATTTTGTTAATCTTGTAACATTCATTATAAAGAAATCATTTTATTCTCTCTAGTAGATGTTGTCTTACCTAGGCTCTTAACTAACTATTTTAGAACATAAATAAAATCTAACAATATACCGCAACATTCTATTCCATCGAAGCTTTTAAATCACAGATGTGCATTAAAAGATATATCATATTTCAACAAAATGTAGCATTACTAAGTGTTAGCTTATTAACAGCGGCACCTGAGGTAAACAACAAATTATTCTTATTGTCAAACGTTATAGCACCAACATCTTCCATCGCCGCCACTCTTACAATTGAAGACTTAGCTAAATCCTTCTCGATAATTACTTTATATATACCATCTATCCACAGTGCGTACACAACACCGTCCAGGTCTACAGTCAAATCCCTGAAAAAGGCGTTCTTCGATAACTTCTTCGATAGCCATATCGTCTTCTCTTTCTTACTCAAAAATAAACCATAAGAACTCAGGAATACAATCATATTGTCTTTGGTTACAATAAATTTTTTAATAATCGTATAATCCAAGAAATCCAAAACGCTCTCGAATGCGTCTCCTTTCTTAACGATAATGGTGTTCTCATTGGCTTTTACTATGTACAAGTTGTCTTTGAAATATAAAATTAAGATTTCATCGCCAATAGAGCTGTAACCTATAACTTTTTTGGAAGGACCGTATGTATATATGCCGTCGCTTCCACCTAAATACACTATGGATTTATCTTGATCGATGTCGAGAGTTCCAAAATTAAGAATTGTATTATTGTCATGTGTCAAAACACCGGACTTGGTAGGATCGTCTAAATTGACGTATCCCACCTTGAAATACTCAGGGTCGTCAATTTCAGGTTCATAACTGAAAAATAGGGTGTTTTCGGAATCGAGTACGACCATTTTTCTGATGACTACTTCCGTTCTGAAGTTAACTTGGAGGTTGAGCAAATGTTGTACGTTGTAGCAGTTAGCGTCGACTCTGACGCAAGAGTCGCATGTTTCATCGGCTATTGCTGATGCTAAATAGAAGAGTAGTACCACCAAGTACGCCATTATCAGATCTGAAAAAAAACGGAGTGTCCATTAACACTTTGCCGAAGTCTCCGGTAGCTTAGTTATAATTTCACCTATTGACGACAAGTCGATGATTTGAATATGTTTTTAGTGTGTTTAAATAAAAAAAAAATACAATATATTTTAGAAATACATTAAACATACATTTCATTCGCAAATGTAACTAATAACTAAAAAATGTATAAATAATATATAGCGGCTTAATATAGTCCATAATTCACTTCAAATATCTTTAATAATACATTCATAATCTAAATAGGTGTTTACTTAAAACGTGATAAGATTTTGGTGCATATTTTAAACTTTAGTTTTTAGTAATTTACCGATTCATCAAAAATATGGAAAATATATATTTAGGTACCCATTTTTTCAATTCAATTTTAAAATAATAATCAATTCAAGTAATTATTATAAAACCTGTAAGATTTTTAAGCTTTCCGCCAGCGGAATCGCTCGTGTGAACTCGGTATAATAATGAAAATCCGTTATGCAGCTTAAAAGATCTCAGGGTATCGACAGCGGGAAACGACTTTGTTTTAAAGTATGTATAGATTTTGTTTAATAAAACTTACAATGAAAAAGTAAAATGTATTTGCGCTACATAAATCAAAGATTGCTCTTAAAATTATCAAGAACAAAAGAAAAAAAATTGCACGAATAAAATTGTCCTCCAAAGCCAAATTTACTGGTGTTACTATAGTACTAATTGTTTATATGAAATTATGGCGCTGACAAGGTAGCAATCCAGTATGATTACGTAATATTTATATACTTGTTTCAAAATCTACAGGAAAAAAATACCTCACAAATAACCACAGAACTTTATAACTTTTTTCGTAACAGTTTCGAGTTTTCCCTTTTTCTATTATTAGACTGAGAACACTGGAGCAGAAACCTTACGATCGATTGCTACAAACATTCAATATTTAATGACGGTATAGCTTACTATTACTGCATTAACATAAGGCAGCAGAAATGTAAATCTGTAAGTAAATGATTTATGGCGCCAGTCCTTTCACTAAATTTAAAATATTAAATTATATATCAATAACACAAAAATATCAATCGCATGGTACTGTAAGTTTTTAAGGTAGTAAGTACGCCACTACACCGCGGATCATCCGTCGATTGTGTAACGTTGAACCTACTGCGACCGACGATGCAGTAGATATCTTAAAAATATACCAACACCAAAGTCACGTTTGACAAATATATTAGTTAAGTTCCTCCAATAAAAGCATATTCAATGTTTTCATAATTATAATATAATAGCTTTCCGCCAGTAGAACTATTTATTTAGATATTGATTCATATCATGATATGGCTATAATTACAATGACACATTGAATAGAAAAACAATGGTCACTATGGTAACATTCTAATTCTCTACACAAACTTCCGCTCCCATTTTCATCCCTTTGTTTGCTATTTCTCGGGATAAAATATAGTATATGTTCACCGTATATGTTGAAGCTTCCCGAAGTTGAAAGAATTTTTAAAATCAATGCTATAGTTTCGGAGCTTTTTCGTTGCAAACAAACAAATAATCAAATCGTTCCGCTTTATCAAATATATCAAAATATATTTACTCAAATATATTTTATATACTAATGTGTATAAAATATATTTGACTAATTCAACACTAACTACTTACAATAATAGGATAATTCAATATTAACAGATTACTTTAATATTGTTAATAATCGGGCAGAAACTTTATGTTCCCTAGAACATAAAGTTTCTGCCCGATTCGCGTCTGACAATTGATACACTGATACACTAACCGGCATATAAGTCAATATGCGATCATTATTTTTTTCCACTACATATAAACGATGAGCTTGGAGGTGTCGGCATCACTAAATGGTGGTGACTTATAATTTTTCTTTATTATATGGCACATACGCCTCTGGCTGACAATCGGTCAGATACAATTGTCTAACAAACATTTTGTTTCTTTTTTATATTGACCTCACGGTGAGTTATGCCTAAATTAATCATACGTCGAACAATGCATTCATGAGATGGGTGAATTTGTTATATTAACTTTTATATTGACGATTCGCTTCGACTCAGCGCCAGTATGTATTGATCCATTCTGTTCCATACGAATTATCGTTTGCGCGCGGCCTTATTAGTTGTCGTCAAATTATTTCACTGGGCATTTACAAAATGCCTTCGAATTATGATGAATAAATGAATGAGACTATTTCTCATTTCTGAATATTAATATCCGGTAATTCGTACCAACACGTAATAGGTACCAAACATTAACACATAGTAATTTTGAAAATCGATTTGATGACTAGCCTTGAAGGAAAAGCGAGTCAATGTCCTCCATAGCCACGGCTGTGTCAATCTTATATATCTTTGAGGTCCCAGGTTCAGTTTTTTTGTATATTGTCTCGGATGCTTGTGGTAAGGTACTACAAATATCCACAAACTGTGATATATTCTTCATTATGTATTTAATTTATTTAGTACAAGCCGTCTTCCTGCGACATCACCCTAGTAAATTATAGCCTACAGCACTCACGTATGATGCAGCTACTATAGTGGAACAAACAAAGTTAGAATGTTTATTTTTATTATATATATTTTTATAATATTTTTAAAAAAGTATTGCGGAGATCTATGACGCAGTGGCTTGCGCTTATAGTTTACAATGCTTAGATTAAGCAACATTCGCCAGGGTCGGTCAAACGAGGGGTGATCAAAAGAAGGATAAATAAGTATTATAAGAAAATTGCATATCAGGTTATCTCAAAATATCATTACATTACGATTTAAAATAAACAGTGAAAAAATAGCACTATTTTAGACAAGTGACGATTTTTTTCCCCATTCGATCCGGATTATTAAATTAATAATTAGTGGTAATTTATATTTATACAATCAACTAAACAAGAACTTATATTATAAATATACTGAAGAGCCAATTTTGCTGAAAAGTGTAAGCATAATTAATGCTTGATGTTTAAAAATGTTAGCAAATAAATTGTTAAAAGCTCAAGGTTCTACTATTTTCGTAAAATTATGTAAGAATGCTAAGAATTCGGGCAAAATATGGAGCTTGTAACATATTTTACTAAAATATTTCGTCGCGTAACAGCAAAGGTATTTTAAAAACTTATACGTAACACACATCCATTTTTATTTTTTGATTAAGTTATAACAAACATGTATTGTAATTTGTTAAAGTTACTAACTATAACTTGTAAACTCTAAAAAGTATAAAATAAGCAACCATTAATAGCATTGAGGTCCTCAAAATTGATGTTATTTTAATTACTAAATAGTACTGTAAAATCAATAACGCTTAGCTTTAGTTTAGATATTTTTCCATTCCAAAATAATAAAACTAAAAGCAGTTCAATTGGCTATTCGAATATGAAATATCCATTTATAGCATTTTTTAATTTAATTAGAAAGGCTTAGACTTCGAAGCATACAGCCTACTTCAAAAAAAATAACAAATATAAATTCTTACCTTTTTCGTGTCAGCAGAGTACACGCGCCGTGCACATTTTCCGTGGCACTGGGCGACACAGTGCGAAGGCGGCATCGACCGACCACCTCACCACGCACCACTGGTCTGTGCCATCAGTCATTAATGCGCGGGAACACGCGACGCGTCAACTGGAACCTATTTTTAACCGACTTCAAAATCGAAAGGAAGGAGGTTATATGTTCGACGGTGATATGTGTGTCTTTTTATGTGTGTTCACTGATATTTCTTCCAATTGGTGATAGATTTTCAAAATTCTGTTTTATTCCATTAATTTATACTGAATTCTTTCAGAAGTTTTCCTTTTATAACAAAACAAAATACGCTTTTGACCATATTATGCCTAAGTAATTCACTTATCACATATCAGCTAAACACAAAAGACTGCGTAATTTGAATTCATACAAAATCGAAAGGATTATTTTCTATTTTCAAGGAGAATGTATATTTTTTATGAAAGTAGATTGAAAGTGGGTATGCTAATCGATTTCTTCTTGATTAATTTTCAACTAATTTCTATCAAACCAGCTGACATAACCTGCGTAAATTATAGCTTAATTCCAACACGTATTGTGTAGCTTCCTTTAGATGAATCGGTCTAATAGTTTCCGAACCTATCCAATACAAACAAACGAGCAGTCAAATCTTTCCTCTTTATAATATGAGAATAAGAAGAATAATAATAAGAAAAATCTTTTTTTCTAAGATTTTCACAATGTTGGATATTTTTATTATGTACAGATCTATACTAATATTATAAAGAAGAAAGATATGATCATTTCTTTGTTTGTTTGCAACGAAAGGCTCCGAAACTACTGGACAGATTTTAAAAATTCTTTAATCTACGGGAAGCTGTATCATATGCGGTGTACATAGGCTATATTTTATCCCGAAAAACAGCAAATAAAGGGAAAATGGGAATGAAAGTTTGTATAGGGAATGAAAGCGTTACTATAGTAACGGTTGTTTACTATTCAATTTGTTATTGTAATTATATCCATGTCATACATATAATACTTATCTTAAAAGCTACTTATTCAAGAAAATGCTATTAAAGTCGGGCGGAGGTTTTTAATAATCAAATGATAGGCGCCCCACTTCAATAGAATTTCTTGTAGTAGCTTTTGAGATAAGTATTATTTATCACTTTTTAAAAGTTTGAAGTCAGTGAGTTCTTTTTTTGTAGTTTTTAATAGGGTGCCTTAAACGAGGAGCTCATTTAGACCTTAGAAAAATTATTGGAAATGTTAAGGAAATAAAAAGGAATTTCACCATGACACCCATATTCGTGACCACACTATGAATGCGTCCAGTATCAAGCACGCAAACGAAACGGTGTACTATTCCTTCTACACCGAAATAACCCCGTGCTTTGCCCGTTCGCGAAAACATTTTTCTTAAATGATCAAAAGTTTCTTTAATTTCCGTGCGTTCCGATTTCTGTGATTTCTTCAATTGAACACAGAATTGCTTCTGTACAGTATTCTCAGCTACCAGTAAGCATAATTATCTTCGTTGCCTTCAAGGATCCCTTTAATAATTCAATTAATTTACCCGATATCCTAGTAAAATATATCTATATCAAAACCTGCCTCACAAAATACCGTGTTCATTAAATGGAAGAATGAACAAGTTTAGCTTTTTTATTGAGTTCAGTTACACGGATACGCTATGAGACTGTTTCATTTACAAAAAAAACTTTCTGATTCTCCATTTTTTAAGATATCTTTGCCCGATTGAGATCAGTCGCTTCCAGTTTTAGTTATAAATAAAACACTTTGTCATAAATATTAAATATAGGGTAATACAACACAGAATTCCACCAAATGGAAGCCTTGAACTCGCGAATACTTGCGCAATGCGACGACATTAGACCGGCTGCGGCACTGTATAAAGTACCCAAAGTATATTTTTGTCTTAAAGTTATTATCGATAAACATTTGAAATTGACATTTTTACCACATAAATCTTTTTATTAGTTGTTTCGATAAGACAATATCATATTAATTGGGCCTTTCTAACTATAGCTCAGCGATAAAAAACGTTTAATGATTTCATAGTTAAATATATTAATTCTCTTTTTATAAAAAAATATAAAAAAATCCTTTTATAAAAGAAAATTATATATGCTAATATGCTTTTTATTATCTATCTATAATTTTAATCAAGCATTTTGGTTTATTTGAATTTCTAATATAGTCTGATTTTTTATCTAAATTCGACCTTTTGGAGCATGAATTAATTTAGTCAAACGTAATATACGAGTTTAACTCAGGAAATTATAACAACCAAAACCATCGATTAAATATGTAAATAATAATACAAAAACAACATATTCATTGGTAAGTCAATAAAACGATTTTAAAACCCTTGGCTGAAGATACGGCGAGAGAGGCAGGCCGTTGCTATCCAGATCCAAATTAAGAAGCTAAAGCACTTGTATTATCGATATCTGAAACAACGAAGGAACACAAAACCCAGACCCGAGACCAATACCTAGTCTAGCCATAAGTTCTGTTACAAAGAAAATATTCGATATTTTCTAAAAAAATTTTTTTTAAAGTTTTATATGTGATTATGTAGAGTGAAAAAGATATGTTAACGTACTAAACTACTCATTCAAAGTGTCCACCTTTAGCTTTAACGAACGCTTTTAAACAGTCGGGCCATTCGTCGGTGGATTTACAGATGGTTTTTATTGAAACTTGGTCACTGCTACCTCCAAAGATTTCTTGAGCGACTCAATATTTGGGTGACGCTTAGAGCAAGCCATGTCCTCTAGCACAGACCACAATTTATAATCCAAAGGGTCTTTAAGTCTGGACTAGCCGAAGGTCAATTATCAGCCTTCATGAAGTCTGCAACATTTTGCTCAAGCCAAATTTGGGTAGTGAGAGCCTTATGACCCGGGCCTGAATCCTGTTGGAATGTCCACACTTCGTTTTTGAAATAGGTGTTGTTGAGAGGTTTAACTATCGCTTCTAACACGGTATTTCGATACACTTTGGCTGAAGATTTCGCTCCATTTTCGCAAAAATGGAGTTTTGTAACCCCTTGGTAGGAGACACCCCACCAAAACATGACGTATGCTGGATGATGGCCTCACTGACCTTTGGCCTCAGGCCTTCCTAATGAAAGGAAAGAAGCTTCTTCAGAGCTGTGTGCATACACTCGATCATTTTGTTTGTTGTAGTGCTCTTGGATTGTAAAAATTTTTTCATCGGTAAAGAGAATTATTCTGTGTTTTTCATCCGCGTGTCGAAGTTACAGCTGTTTTGATCTTACGACTCTCTTTTGTTTTAGTGCCTGATTTAAGGTATGTCCTGTGTATCTCCAGTAAGCTCCTAGACCTCCGGTAAGTCTTGTTTGATAATCTGAGAAAGTGTCCTCGGTGGGATTCTCATTTCTCTGGAAAGGATTTTCTGCCCTTATGGGATTTCGATGAATTCTGGCCGTGACTGCATTAACTGCCTGGTTTATTTGAATAGACCGCGGTCGGCCGGATCTCTCACGGTCATCAAGAGACATGGTTTCAGTGTACCTTTAGATGGTACGATACACAAACATTCGGCTAATCCCTAACTTTTTAAATGTATCAAAAATGTCGGCTAACTCCTTACCTACTTTGTACAATGTAATTACTGTAATCCTAATATCTGTAGGGCCACACTCCATTTTCATAATAAATAATTTCTAATTATTATATTTTTTGATTAATTTTGCATTCACAATGCAGTCGCCCGGATTGCGAAAGGTCGTGGGTTCGATTCCCATCTCAGGGTACCAGGGACCAAGTGGATTTTTTAAGCATTTTGTATTAAAAATAATTTCTAAACAACATACAATTATGGCGGGGAAGAAGTCTATTTTTTAACATAGAAGATAACGTTCAAAATTCAAATTAATATATTTTTTAATGTATGTAAACAGCCAGTAACAGAATTTATTGCTAGACTAGGTCATATAAAAAAAGCTCGAACCCGGAACCTCAGAGATCGGGGACACTGCTGTCGACACATAGGTTACATAAACTAAAATATTACGTCGATGACATGTAATTTTGTCTAATATATTTAATACAAAGTATTTATTTGTTTTCCCGCGACTTCATCTGTTTATATGGCTAAGTCACCCGTGTATAATGTAACTTCCAATATGTGAAGTTTTTAATTTTAGTAAATTCGGTAAAACCTCATCTTCAGTTTTAACATTAGCTGCTATGCTTTGCTATTCTGTAATAAAAAAACAGCGTAACAACACTGTCACAGCATTTTACTCGAGGTAGTGTTGAACTTTTTACTTTCTGAAGTCGATTTTACAGTATGTCAAGGTTGAAGTTGCAATGCTACAACGGTATTCCACATACTCGCAATCATATTTACGACAAATTAATAAATGAGAGTTAGTCACGGTCAGCGGTCATGATGAGCCATCATCACAAACTCATATGGCACAATACCGATGACTGTATTGTTCCTGACCACTGATACCTTTATATAAATCCAACACGGCGTGACCAGCGGTGGGATCGAACTGTAAAATTTACCATAATTCTCTCCTATATGTAGATAATTTATTTTGACTACATACTATGTAATTAACAGTCTAGTTAATTTACAAAATGAACTTTTTGATATAAGATTGTATAAGACGGGTATTAACGCGATAAAATTTCCGATAGTTATGTTTTACACCTACCTATATTTCCCGACGTTTCGACCAGGTTACACCGGCCGTAGTCACGGGCTGACTGGTTCTGCGATGCTATGTCTCATCTTCTGAAGTGGAATCCACTTCTACCGTCCAGTACCGCCACACACAACACTAACGGAAACCTTATTCTGTATCTGGTGGTACAACCGTATTCTGGTGGTCTGGTGCGTCGCGTTTAAGTGTTGTGGTACTTCCGTTGTTTCAGATTTCCGCAATACGAGTGCTTAAGCTACTTATCTTGAAATCTGAGTATTGGATGTGATAAAGTTTCAAACAAAACTTCTACTAGATGTTACGTTGGCGTAAGAAAAAAACAGTTACATAAAGTGATATGACATCGGTCCTAATCTACAGCACCTTCAGAAGCCAGTCGTTAAT